CCCCAAAACCCCAAAACCCCAAAACCCCAAAACCCCAAAACCCCTTTGCAATACGTCACAATTGAAATCCTAGTAAAACTCTCCAAGATGCCAAAAACCCGATTATCCTGATAAATTTAGAAATGGCCGAATCTTCAGCCACCATTGAAACTTCGAGAAATTACTCCTTTGCAAAATTTATCAAAATTTACTTCTTTAGAACATACAGCTTGTAAATGATAGGCAATAGCAAAAATCCTGTGACTAGGACCAATCCAATGTAATCTGTCAATGAGAACTCGTATCCAAAGATAATGAAGTCTGAAAACAGCAGAAAGACTCCTGAGAAGTAACTTAGAGGTGAAATTTTACCTAAGCACGTTAAGAAATTATCTTACTAGCCTCCTGATACTTGTATGCAATGCTGATGAAGTTCTGGTGAATGAAGTGCAATACTCCGCTTAAGAAGAACCATACCATATCTATGACTGTATAATGCTTGAAATTGAACAACGATGGATACACTATTAATAAAGACAATGCTGATAGAGTCAGAGTGAAGGCAAACCATGCTGGATTCATCATGTAATGCAAATGCTTGTTCATCACTCTAATTGAAAGAGAAACCCCAACACCTAGCAACATTGCTCCCGCACAAAGGATAACTCCAAGTATAGTCAGGTAGTCAGAAGTCTCAATCTTGGTTGAATCTGTTTTGTTGATGTTCATCGTAACAACACCAGCAAAAGCTCCAATGACAGCAAGTGTATCATACTTAGTCATCTTTTCCTTGAGGAAAAGATATCCTCAGAGGGTCACAAAGAGAGGATGGGTCTTGCTAATCAAAGTAGCCTTACTAGTAGGTAAGAACTTGATCGAGCAATAGAACATCGGAGATGCCAAGATACCAAGGAAGCATCTCAGTGCTAGGTATAACCTACCTTCCTTCTTGATATCCAAGAGATTAACTTTTTGAGAGAAAGCCTGGAAGAGAGCACAACAAGTAAGGATCAAACTTCTTACTATCAGGTAGTCAAAACCTGACAAGTTAGGGTTGTTCATGTAAGCTAGTTTACAGAACACTGTCGAGAGGGAGAAGAGTATCACTCCAATTATCATCATGAATAGTCCAAAGAAGGCATTGAAGTATGAAGACTTATTCTCTTCGTCCTTCTTATTTTCATGAGAGATGTCTTTGTCTAATCCATTGTCTTCGACTTCGAAGCTTTCCTTGAGCTGGTTGTCCACCATCTCAAGCGCTTTTCTAGTGTTCGTTGGGGATCCTTTAACTCCTCCCATTCTCAATAAAGAGCCTTCTGAATCTAAAGCATTGATCTATTAAATACGAGTCCTCTTTCAAAACACTCAATAAAGGCTAAGAGGTTTCAAGTTTGGAAAATAGGTCTAATCATTCAAGAAAAAAGGTCAATCTGTAGCAAAATTTAAAAATGACTAGTCAGGCTTTAACCAGCTCCTGAAGCATCGAGTCTCATTTCCTCACGTACCATCCCTGTCACTATTAACCAACAGATTGGCTTCGACATCACGTGAATCTTTGCTAATGTCTAACATTTTCAATTAAAATTGACTGCTTTGGGGTTTTGGGGTTTTGGGGTTTTGGGGTTTTGGGG